AATAAAATTAAAAATCTTATTATGTTTATTATATAATTAGACATTTTTAGAAGATGCACCAACAAATTTTCATTTTTACATAATGATAATCCAATAACAAGTCTCATTTTAATATAATATTACATGATTAGAAAAATCAAAACAAAATGTTCATATTTCAAAAATTACTTATTTTTCAAAAATTTGTATAAAAAATCATTTTTGTGTTCTAATAAAAAAAATTTCTTAAGCAATTTTACTATAAATATTACTAGTGCTAACCCAAACCTAAATGATCTTTAAAAATTTTTTTGATTGTCACATGATAGTGAAATTTTGTCGATGCACCTGAATAAGATTTTTTAGAAAGTTGTGTCCAATTACATATTAATCTACATCTTGCATAAATTGTATTATTGATACTTTTATAAATTACACCTTTATTTTGGTTTGTTTTTTTAAATTGTTTAAATTGATTTGACTTTTATATCTTTATTTTCATTTATATTACAGTACTTTTTTTTTAATAACAAACAAGTATTTTTGTTTGAGATGATGACAAAATAATAACAAAATGATGATAATAATGAAATAAGAGAAAGGTCTGTATTTCAGTATTTTGTTTGTAGAAACTAGATATGTAGTAGGAACTGTTACATCTTACTAAGTTGCAACAGTTGGTACCACATCTCTAATAAAATATAAGCCCTGTTACCACTTATTAAGTTTACTGATTTTGCATAAGAGATTGGCTATCTTAATTGATGTAACTAGTCTTAGTCTTATATGTAAATATAGTATTAAGCATTGGCATATGTTCAAAAATTTTAAGAAAATTTGGACATATTTCTGTATTTTATATTTCTAATTTTTTTTAAAGTTAGTGAACATATGTTTAATATTAATATTATATGTTGTCTATTATTGCGAAAGTACCAACTTCTTAGAAGTGTTTGGCAGAAACAGTAGTATACCATGTATGTGATGACAATATTGGCATACTTTTTGACTATTTATTAATTTTTTTTTTTTTTAGTATATAATAGGTTATTCATCAGATAATATGTTAATTTTTTTGCTGAATCTTTTTTTTTAAATGATTTTTCTTTTTTTACTTTCGAAATAATATTTTTTTTGTAATTTACATTTATCAAAAATTTTGTAAATTTATAATTAATTAATAAAATCGAGTATGCAAATTATGAAGTAATCAAAGTTTGCTCAAATGTTATTCTCTATGCACTTAACTAATAAACGTGACGATGCTTATTTACTACAATCAATCAAAATAAGAATCCTAATTGATACTTGAGCAATCCATTAATATTTTATCAAATGTCGTTATCACTACATTAAGTTCGTTAACATTCGGTTGTTGCATAATAAGGTTGCATGATAAAGTTACTTGTGCGATCTCATTGAATACTCAATTAATTGTAAATTTTTCCAACCCAAGGATAAAAAAAAGGTGGTCTGCCGCAAAATGGTTGTAATAATTTTTACTAATAATAATGTATTGATTATGTAATAAACTTTATTAAACTACAATGTTTATCTAAAAATTCATTACGATGTTAAACACTTTTAGCTCCCTTAAATTATTTTCTGCTAAGTAAAATTTATTCACCGACACTTTTGTCCAATTGATTAAGACGCTTGAGAACACCCTAAAGATAGGAAAAATTAGATAAATTGGATAGAAACCTTGCTTCTTGATTTTGTAGAACGCCATAAATGCATAACGTTACATGTTGCACTATGCTGCATTATGCAATGTGGAGCCAAAAAAAATATGCATTCGCACATTTCTAATTGAGGATATGAGAAAAGAAACGTTCGAGTGTCTTAAACAAGGCAAATTTCTCAGCATTAGAACTTTATGAATAAATTCTCAACAACAATCAACATAGCGCTGAAGATCAAAAAAGTGCTTCAACTTGAAATCTTTCTCGTGAATATTGGGGATCGGAAAATATAAACGAGTTAATAAAGGTACTTTACAAGTACACCATGCTGACTTTTTTGGATTTATGTTATAATGAGCTTGAATCAAATGCTGGAAAATTATTAGCAGATGCTCTTTATAATAACACTATGCTGACTTCTTTGAATCTTCACAATAATAATCTTGGACCAGACGCTGGAAAAGCATTAGCAGATGCACTTTGTAAGAACACTACGTTACCTTTTTTGAATATTAGTACGAATAAACTTGGATCAGAAGTAGGAAAAGCGTTAGCAGGTGCTCTTTGCAAGAACATCACACTGACTTCTTTGAATATTTCTAATAATAATCTTGGATAAGTTCATTGATTAATGCACTTTATAAGAACACTACGCTGACTTCTTTAGATCAAGGTCATTGGCTGATGCACTTTGCAATTGACTACTTTGTTTGTTCCTTTAAGTGATCTTGGACCAGAAGGTGGAATAGCATTAGTAGATGCACTTTGTAAGAACATCTCGTTAACTTACTTGCATATTGGAAATAATAGTCTTGGATATGAAGGAGAAAAGGGATTCGCTAATGCACTTTATAAGAACATCACTCTGAAAGAATTGCATATTACTTGGAATTTTATTGTTCATACTCTAAGATCTAATAATCCACATATTAAAATATTTCTTTTTGGATCGATCAAAAATCAATTAGTATGTTTAATCGAGTATGGTAAGTCAAGCATGTATTTTATTTGCTCAAGCATAAATACTCGATCAATCATTGGGTCAACCAATGATCGATTAACTACCCAGTATCGCCATAAAAATTCCACTATCACGTGACCATAGACGGCAAAATGAGCCATGATTTGGTGTAACGTAGCACGATCAAGAAAATTCAAACCAAACGTTAAAAGATCGTTAGTTCGTATTTCTCAAAAATTTGAATAAGAAAAATTCCTTGAGCTTTACCTAGCCTTATTAGAAATGCTAACCCTAACCTTATTAGAAATGCTAACCCTAACCTAAATGAATTTTAAAGAATTTTTCGATCATTACGTGATAGTAGAATTTTTATGGCGATACTTGGGAAGATATGATCGATTATACAGTATTTTATAAAGATATCCTGTAAAACCTGTAAAATAATTTTTTTTTTGTAGCTTTATTAATCGATTAAATTTTAAACATTTAATCGATTAACATAATCGATCATTGATTGACTCGCTTATGACATTGTGCTCGATTATCAAGCTTAATCGATCAAGGGTTATATGGTTGAGGTGATACACTAATTTTAATGAAATGTATATAGCACAAATGTGAATAAATTTAATAAGTTTATATACAATATATATTTTCTTAATAGATAGCTTTGCGCAAAATCAGGTCGGAGTTCAGAGTTTTAACTAAATACACCATTTACTTAGATGCAAGAGAAATAATTAGAAATAATTCCTTTTTAAATTTAAATAATATATAAATCTTTACAATTATTGTATTCGCAGGCCATTGTTTTAAGATTCGTAGTGAAGGAGAATTTTATCATTTACCGTGGGGTTCTGATCTATTCACTCTTTTTTTGAACGAGAACTTGATAATTGAAGTGCTAATATCGATGCAACGTACGTACTGAATCCATGACAGGTTACGCTACTTATGTCAATTACCTGTCTGACTATACCCATAGAGTTGATCAAAATCGCGATGCATAGTTTAAATTATTACTATAGTAATTTTGAGTTAAATTGCGTAATTATTATGATATTTGCGTAGTTAAAAAGTGAAATATATAAAGAATGATTAATAATATTTTTTATTTTTCTTTTTCTGCAACTTATAAGCGAATTTTTTCTAACATAGGAAAGGTATATGAATCCAAGTTAAACAACCTATTTATTTTAATAAGCCTAATTAATTCAATCTTTTTTTTTAATAAATTCATAAAAAAAATACAATTTTATATATATTATACAATACTTATCTAAAAAAAAGCATAACCAGTTTTTTAAGGTAGAGAGTATGTAGATCATTTATCATATGATTTTTAGTGATTAGGTTTTATTATATACCATCCTCTCTATAAATTAAATAAATGTCAAATTACATAAATATTATTTTATAATTTAATATGCATAACATATATGATTGTGTAACATAATATGCATATAATAAGCATATGACTGGCCAATAAAACTGTAAATTTATAGACCAGTTAAAATAAGCTTGTCTAATTTGCATGGATTGTTACATAAGGCCATGTAATAATTATAGGTCACAAAATGAGCAGAATCGAAATCAATTAAATCGCCCGTAATCGATCAAGATTCCATTTACTCCTTTGTTTATTTCGCAAGCAACTCAAAATAATAATACCCAGAGGTTTCATATTGATTATCTAAACTTTAACTTTACTAATTGTAAAGATTTTTTAAGTCGTTGAAATAATTTTTTTAAATTGTAAATAACTTTATAAATTGCTGTTGTAACTAACCAGGTTGTTAGTAATAAAAATATCCTGATCCGTTGGGTATTTTTATTACTAATCGACAGAATTTAGAAATGATGCATAATCTATCTCTATTTATTTCATTCTAATATTTTCCGTTCCTGGTTTTGCGTGACAATGTTACGCAACCATATTATTACATATCAACTGGTTTATAATAAAGGTCAATAAAGGTCAATAAAGGTTGAAATTCGAAAATTGACTTGTCCTGGATTTCTATGTGCCAAAAAAGTATTGAATGTAATTATTCTAAATTTCATCATTAGCATAAACTTCTACATTAGTTTAAAATGAGTGATGTGTTTTTAAATGGATCACGACATCAATTTACTCAAGTTATATTAAGCTATTCAAACAATGCGATCAAGTAATAAAAGTCAACTGGATCAAAGCAAAATAAGTTAATTTCATGTATTTGCGATAATAATTTTCGTTGATTTAACTTATGCAACTCTTAATGACCAAAAGTTACAACCTAAGGTTTATTATTCCAACTTAAAAATCAATATTTATACTGTTATATCGAAAAAAACTTTATGGTGTACAATTCGGAAATTTCATTATCATATCATTAATCTTTTTTTCTGATACAAATTCCATATGGTCTTATGTCTTCATCTTTCTTGGAAATCCAATATTCACCGACACCTACCGGAATTTTCTGCAAATTAACAGGACTCACACGATTTTGGATAACTACCAAATACTTATCTCCATCGTGCTCAAATTCCTTAGCAAATCCCTTAGCAATATCCACTTGAGGGGATGAATAAATGCCATGACCATAAGCAAACCGCAATCCTTTACTTAATAAATACCCATCTTCTGAAATCGACCTTGAATTTTGTTTACTAGTACCATGATAAGATACAGGCCAGGCATTTGCATCAGTACCAAGCCATCCATTATTACCATTATCATATTTTCCTAAAACCTTTAAGGCGAAACGCCTCCATCCACACGGTCTTCGATAATCAGCACCTCCACGAGTAAATGTTGCGCTTTGGTCATTAACATTTGTAAAATCACAATCGTAACTAGGATCTAAAAAATCTGTACTCAAATAACTTATAACAACACCTCCACCAAGAAGGTTCAGAACTAAATGTAAAGTACATCCTTTAGTAATATCATAATAATTAACAGTTTTCTCTCCCTCTAATTGTCTACCGCCAAAAATAAGTCGCTGTTGATGAGCTAGGATGCCTTCTTTATCCTGAATTTTTTTTTTCACGTCATCAATTGTATCATTAGGTTTGCAATCAATTGTGATACTCTTACCACAGAGCATTTTTACAAATATTTGTATAGTGACATTACTGCTAATCGTCAAATTATCAAATGACTTTGATGTTGAAGATAATTCATCGTCATCAATTCTATTAACTAAATAGACACTACCACCAATCAGAATACATTGATGAAATGCATACATGTCGACAGGTTGAAAAACGGTATACTGTGCATCCTGTATCATCAGATCAATTGAGTTTTGTTTTTTATTATGACATCCTCCTATTTGCTTTTCGTTATATTCTTTTAGTATTTCGTTATGATCTTTTTGTCTTTCGTGATATTCTTTTTCGGTTACAAAAGTGTAGCCTGGCATCATGGCTGTGAATGCCGCATTGAGAAGGTCGATATTGGAAGCATTTGACATAATTACTTGATCTTTTTCAAACGAAGGTTGCAAAGATTTTTTAAGGTTTTTTTTTTTTGGTACACTATTTAAAGATTTCGCGATTATAAGTCACTTTATTATCAAGTTCCCACAAATCAATAGAATTGTCTTTTATGCTATGTATTTAATGATATACTTTGAGTAAATATGCTTCAAAAGAGGTTATATGATTGTCTATTTTAATCATATAGTAAGCATTTCTTGATGAAACGTTAAAATTTTCCATTGTACGAAGCTAAAAACTTGAATTTTAGAGTTTCTAAAAGTAACTTTTATTAGATTAGTAAAATACTTTTAATGTTTGTTGATATCTAATAGCTTTTTTTATTGGAGTAAGTCATTCTAAAATTCGTGATGGCCTTGCTGAATTAAATTTTATAAAGTATATACTGATATACACTATTAATCTTGTTAATACTAATAACATATAATTTGCAAAATAATCATTTTTATTAATTAACTTCAGCAGATATAACATGATGTAAATTAATAAGTAAAGATTGTGTCTAAATATAAATTTGAGAGACTTCCATAGTCAACTAATTAAATTAAGTTGTATCATACTGTATAATCTTTAGTTATATTTAATGGTTATCTTGTTGTAACAACTGGCTTAATTGGCTAAACAATCTTATCAATCCATAGAAAGAGATAGTTTAGAATATATAGTTAAAAAGTGTAATTATTGCAGTATTGTGGCTATGTGAAAATCGGGTGATAAAAAAAAAAAAAAGAAGACTTATAATCATTCGGTTGAAACAGTAACGGTAAGTTTACTGTTGTTTGCTATATTAATCAATTTTCAGTTGTCTCAGGAAATTATTAACTCTAACCTCAATTATCAATCTAGTCCTAAAATGCTAAAAGTAAAATTAGCCTCTAAGCTACTTAATTAAAGTACGCTACTACAATTTTTTTGTACATACGTAAATACCGGTACAGACTTTAGTTTTAATCTGTGCGCCGTTATCAAATTCTGTCAAACCATTAGCCTGAATTTGTTTATTTGTTTGATACCCATGACTTGTACAAAATTTTGCCCAGGTTGAGCCATTAAGAAGATAGATCGTAATGCAGGCAGATTAATATATTAGACCGACCGGTTATTCATGTTGGCTATTCATGCCAGTTCGATAATTGTTTCTTATAAAAGCTAGCACTCTTCTATATACGTAGACTGAGGCGGACCGGTGGTACCAATAAACAATATTGAAATTATATTACAGCATTTAGATTAGGCTGATTCATACTTACACATCCACATACATATGATGTACAGACTCCGAAAGTATAAAGCATAACATAGTTACACGAAAAAAATAACAATAAAGCTAATTTTTGTAATTAACGTTAATCATTATATCATGAATAGGTATTGCTCATTTTTTCTTAACTGAAATTATTTGGAGCAAGGCTTCCACTAGTCGAGTCATTATACTTTATTGTTATACGTATTTAAATATCGGTTAAAGTACGTACACACATACTTAGTGTACTGCACTAAATATTTTGTAAGTACCATATGTTACACCGCACTTTCAAGTCAGGAAAGAATAAATATATATGCGTCAAGTTAGTGTATTATAAACTCCGTATTACGTAACATCTTATTCAGTTATAATGATAAATACGCATTAACAATGCTTTTCTTGATTACAGCGACAAATAACATATTTATACCTTGTCAAGCTACACGATAAACGTATTAACAACCTATTAAATTAATATTAAATTACAATCTTAACAATTAATACTATGCAAAATAACGACATAGACTTTGATGCGCTTTATGCTAGGCGATTGCAGTTACAATATGATCAAGGTAAATTAATAGCATACTTAATTGAATTTTTTAGTTTGACCTCCTCACTCTAAAATATGATTATTATATTCAGAATCATTTCTAACAAATGCAAGATATTTCGAATATGAAAACGATGAAGATGAAAATGATGAATCATTTGAAGGTATTTTTAATTTGCTTTTATTATTTTTATTAATTTGAACACTTTATGAATAATAGTTAATAGATATTTACTTTTTTAAAAATAGAAATGATAAATGAAAGCACTTCCTACGGTATCATATATAATCCTTATACATCTATATGTGCATATATTATTACAATGAAATAATGTTCAAAAATTTTCAGTGACAACACCAATCACTAATAATAGACAAGATGTGCAACAAAAGCGAGAAAATATAGACAATGATTATGCTATTGCTGTACAATTGCAACAAGTATTGAATGAAGAAGCATTAAATGAAAATATGGATGGTAAGTTATGAATTGTGATAAATTGTATGTATGTTTATATAAGTTTATAAAGTAATTATTTTTAGATGACAATCCTCGTATGAATGCATTTGGGTGTTCCAGGGGAAATTTCGAACGTCGTGTAAATGAAGCTACAGGTAAGGGAATTAATATGTTTTGGTATTAAATTATATAATGGATTTCAGTTAAATGTGACGCAATTTTTTTTTTTTACAAATCTTGTTATATTTTAATTAAGTTCAAATGCTCATATTTATATAATCACTTATTCTCAATAACATTTTAGCTATTTCATGTGAAAACTATTTTGTTTTCTCTTATTTAATATTTGTAATCAATTCAGTTTTGAATCCTATTCATTTACAGAGATACACTATTTTTGTTAATTTTTGAAACCTTTTAATGATAAAATCTTATAATTTCTTTGTATTACGATGTTTAATAAAATATAGACTCACATCGATCACATTATAGCGAAGATTTGAATGATGAAAGTGATGATGAGCTGAATAAAGGTATTTATAAATTTTTATCATGCTTTAACTCTGTTCTGTAATTATACTACAAAAAAAAGTATAATTTATTGAATATTTGCATTCGGACTCAAAAAGTACCTAAAAAATGTTAGTTTGTTCTATTATTATCTGATTTTTGTTTTCTCAAAAATTAGATGGAATTCATGATACCTTTTTAGATGGTTTAAAGTTTATAATCATAATAATTCTAAAAATTAACAAATGATTTATTTATAGTAACACTAAAGGTCTCTTCAATTGAGATTACTTCAAATGGTACATAATATTATATATTTTTGCATATTGCATTATACATGAATCAATAGTTTGACCTCCTTTGTATTTGTTTAAATTAGATCTTAGGACAGTCATTAATCAATTCAAAAATAAGTTATTTCAAAAATATCCGCATGCGAATAGAAAAGTCATTAGACTATCTTCAAGAAATCAATTACTTATGTTTTCAGAATTCATCGAAGCTATTAAACTATTTAAAGAAGTTGATTTTATACAACGACCGAGAATTGAATTTAAAAATGAGTATGAATTGTTTTTTTAAAGATTAATTTAGAGTTCCTTTTTTTATATACGGAGTTTCATTTTATCTTATTAATATTTAAAATTAATATTATGAAAAGGCCTGTTGTTGATGGCGGTGGTGCATTTAATGATACTATTCGACAAATCCTAGACACGTTCATGTCATTAGAGAATCCTGAATATGGTGGTAACGGCCGTTTATTTACCGGTGATAATTCTAAATTAATCAGTTCAACCGCTCCAATAAGTGTTTTAGATGAACTTAATGTATGTACAACCTTATTCATCCGTAAAGATAATCATAAACATTAATAACAATCTACATACTAATTTTAGATATTTGGAGATATTCTATTTTTGGCAATCATTCATGAAGCGCCATTTCCTGTAGATTTAGATATTATCTTGTTCAAATATTATTTAGACCTTGAAAATACTATTACCATAAAGGATGTTGAAAGATTTAATCCCGTAATGTCTAACCTTGCCAGGAATGTCTTAAATGCTGATCCAGACGTTGATCTGTCTACTATTGATGGCTTTGATCAATGGGCTGAAGATAAAGAAATATCTGTACGAATCAAGTTTATATGAATCAAGCTTATATGAATCAAGTTTAATAATCATGTAAAATATCATGTGAAATATTAAATTTTCCAATTTAATATTATTTTAAAAATTAAAAATATAGAAAATACAGAAGCAGGTGTATTCTCGATCAAGAGAGAATTTAAGAAAATTAGCCAAGGAAATCTGTCATGATGTACTAATCCACTGCCGAATTAAACAACTTAATGCTATAAAACTTAAATTAAATAAGTTTGGTTTTTTAAATGTATGTTATCACATACGATTAATTCATTTTCTTATTCCAAATATTTAAATATTTTAAATATTTCTCATTTTTTTATAATAGGTTATTAAGGAAAAACAAATCAGCATTGAACAAATAAAAGATTATTTTTATCAGGAATCCATAACATATGAGGACGTTGTTCGAAAGTTAGTTTTTACTCCATCCCATTTAAATAGGCGTCAAAACATGGTCAAGAATTGGTTAACTGAATGGTTACGAGCACAAAGAAAGGAAGAATTACAAGAATTTTGCAGATTGGTTACTGGTTTTAGTAATCCACGAGAAGAAATAACGGTAAAATTTTATATCTATATATAAATATCAATATAAATATATATTAGTTTTCTAAAATTCTTTTGATTCTTGTTAATTCTTATTATTTAGGTGGCTTTTAAACCGTATATTGCTCGGGAGAACAGAGAAGCTACACTTACACCTAGATTTCAAACTTGTTTCTCTGAAATTAAGATCTCTGAACATTTTAATTCAAAACATGAATTTTTTGCTATTATGAATGCTCAAGTTAACAAGAGCTTTCATGATGATAGATTTACCGTAGCCTAACAAGTCTAACAAAGTAAACTAAACCTTCACTATAAAATATATTATTTATTTAAATGTATATTGTTTAGTGATATTGGTAAATTGTGGATACCAATTTTATGTTTTTTTTGGTTTTTTTTTTTAAAAAAAAAAAAAACTCTATATAATAAGCTGTAGTAATTAAAAGCAATAAACGTTTTAACAATGGTCACCATACAGTTTTAGAAGTAGGGATCGATGCTTAATCTTATATTTTTTGTTTTAAAGTGAAAATTATCTTACAATAATTACAATAATTACAAAATGATTGCGTGGTTTACGCTAATGAGAATTATCATATTTAAGAAATAAATGTCGAAGATCATAATAAAATGAACTGTGATTTCTGTTTGCCCTTCTGAACCTCTCTAAAACCAACTTGTTTTTTACAATCTTGACCTTTAAAAATTGCACCCTCAAAAATTGTAAGTTTCGGTGGCTTGTCTATTTTATTTACACTATCCCTTATTTCATTTTAATCTTTCACAATAAGTATCATTACCATGGCTGATGCTAAAATTAATAGATATAGATATAATAGTTCCAGTTCCAGCATGTTTAAAAAACAAGAAAGCCATTCCTACGAAGAACAAATTCCAGAAAGTTAATTGTTGTGCTGCGTGACGCATATTCAAGTTTGCTGATGATTAGTTACAAGAGATAGTATTACTTTAAACATTCTTCAAATATGAGGTCTCTTAAAACAGAACAGATTATATAATAATTAGCTAATTAGATTATCAAAATTTAATAAATCTAAATCAACTTAATAAAGCAAAACAAATGAAAAAATAAACAAAATAAAAATCTAAAAACCAATAATTTAAACCTATCTTGGTGCATTAACAAAAAAAAGTTAGAAAGGTAATTTTGCTTATTTAACTTTTATTAACTCTAGCTCAAAAATGACTTTAATCCTAATGTTAATAAAAAATAGTATAATACGTACATAATTGACAATCTTATTACATAATTTAATGTTACAAGTCATAAGGTTTTTATTAGCTAGCTTAGCCGGCCAATAAGAAATCAGCTAAATGAGACCGTCAATGTTACACATATATTAACTGGTGAGGGATTATATCCATCACAATTGAATTCAACATAAATAATTTAATTTGCGATTGATCACAGGCGAGAGGGATTCATTTTGGATCGGGTACTGTCCCTGCTGTACTAATAGCTAAACCCAAATTTTT